GATTCATGCTCAATTAGGTGTTACGTCTCGAGGTATTCTAATCTGAATAATAATGAAACACTTACTTACACACATATGTATGCACGTAATGATTTTCTATTTGCGTGAATGATCGATAGTCGTTGATTAATGTCGATTTCACGATAAAATTTATACCAATCAATAATTAACGTGTCTAATAAAACTAGTGTAATTTATAATTATATTCACTATCCCGCCCTTGTAGCTATTAGTCAAATGGTGGTACACGTCACCTAAAAAGAGGTACGATGATGCTTGTTATATAATTGAGCATCTCGATTAAGAAAGTCACTAACAATAATGGATTAGTTTGTTGATTATTATAATTTTTTATTAATAAAAACACTAGTCATCTCTCCATATTTGCACTGTAAGTCTGTAAGAGGAAACAGGAGTGGAACTTCATATCCAAGCAGGGGGGACAAGGGCAGAGGTTATACAGTAAATGAAGATGATTTTTCATAGGTTTGGAAATTAACTAATCTGTGGCACCAGTTTTTTTCGAGGGTCGTGAGAAACCAATATAATTTGTTGTAATTATTATTATAATTATTATAATATATAAACATGCTTGCAGACCTACTAGAAATTAGGCTTAGATCTCAAAGGATGTATACAGAACCCTAACTCTATCAAATCAATGCTAGCTTATGATTTCAAGGGTCTGAAAATTTTGATTGTAATTCCAAGTGTATGTTTGTTCGTTGACTGGCATTATGAATTTCTTGCAAATCCTACCCATAAGTCTGATTTAAATCACACTAGACCGGCATATGTAAGTTAAGTTCGTTGGTCAAAATAATACGTTCGTCTTTATATCCGAGTTCAATTCCTCTTCTTATACATTAAAGTAGTTTAGAATATTCATTTATCAAATTGTCAAAAAGTAAAACAAAAGACACGGGAATGCGGAAGGAGAGTAGTCTAGATTCAGGGAATTAATGGAGGTAAAATGTTTCACTATCACAAGTAAAGTGCCCAAAAATCTAAAAGATACATTTTGTTTATCATTAATTTCTTAAGTGACGAGGTAGAAGTATATGACTAGTGATGATTGACTCTCATTTGCTTGCAAAGTATACTTAGTCTAGAAATCTATCATGAAATATGTTGTCATTACATGGATTAATAATAATTTAATTATGTGTTTACAATAATAATTTTGATCAACATAGTACTGTAGCCGTCACAGGACTCGCACCCCTAGAATAAAAAGAATGATCGAAGAACACTACAAAAACTTTTTGACTTGGGACACGTAAACTAAGGTCATGTCAGAACTTATGACTAACCTAAAAGAAAAATATTTGAGATCATGGACCGGTCTCCTTTGTAGGACGGTAAAGGAAATTTGATATAATTACCAAATACTTGTGATTCTAATGGGTAAAATTCCATAATTTACAGCTGTAAAGACACTAGAAGCCCACACAATTACCTCTAATTTTTATTGTTGTTATTACTAATTTTTATTTATTTATGGTAATAAAATTATTTTTATTACTCTCCAAGCACAAATGTAATGAGAGCATTATTTACTTCTAATGAATCGAATATCGCTAATTAAAACCACTAGTGTATGTAGTGGTTTGGAGCAATTGATCTTTTAGGAAATGTCCTGATCCGAGTCATAATATTCGTGTAGTTTAATATGTTATTGCTCCTCTCGATAAGAAAGGTCTTCAAATGAAATTGTCTTCAAGTCCTGATTATATTTTGACGTCCCTATTTCATGATCACATGAATGAGAAAGATAAAAGGAGATTTAATAATTTTCTAAATTTAGAAATAACAGTGGGAAACAAGGGGATTTAAAAAAAAAAATTAATGCACCAGTAGCTAAATAACTGAGATCCCTCCCTTTGGCATATTGACTCAAAGAAATTAATGTCTTAGTAATTCGTTCGATTATAGATATATCTATAAACACACATGTATTTATTTATATATTTTAGGTCAAATTGTAGGAGAACCCTAGTAATTAATTAAAAAGAGAGCTGATTTTCTCACTTTCTTTTTCTCTACTTACACTCCTTTTTGGTGTTTTAATACTTTTTAATCATCTTTGTTCTTTTTTGTTCTTTATCTTTCCTATTCTACCATTATTTTACACTAGCCTCTCAGCAAGAGCTTGAGCGCCTGCGAGAGGCTTTATTTTTTGAAAAAAATTTAGAATTAAAAAAGATAATGGGTAGTTGTGTTCCATAAAAAATAGAATCCATTATCTAATTTTTCTTTTAATTTTTTTTAATATGAACAACTGTGAATTTACCATATTATCCTCATTACTAGCCTCTCTGCACACGATTCCGGACCTGCGAGAGGCTTTTTTTTTAAAAAATTAAAATTTATTTTAGAATTAAAAAAGATAATGGGTAGTTGTATTCCATAAAAATAGGATCCATTATCTAATTTTTCTTTTAATTTTAATTTTTTTAAATTTGAAAAGTGTGAATTTACTTTATTATCCTCATTTAATTAATAATTTCAATTCTTTTTTTTTTTATGAAATAATTTCAATTCTTAATGTTTGCATTAATCAATGTCATTTTTTGGTATTTTGAATGTTTACTATTCTCTGCCCTTTGCTTTATATATATAGATATATAGATTAATTTCTTTTTACTTCACTTTTTATATTATTTCTTTTTCTTTACACTTAATTTCTCAAGTTACACTCCATTTTCTTTTTCTTTATACTTTTATATTATTTCTTTTTATTTATGCTGTTAAATGAACATAATATATACATTTTTTTTTTAAGAAAACCTATATAATGCTTTATGAAGTTCATAAAATGTTGAATAAACATTAGAAAAGAAAAAAAAGAAGGGTGTATATTTTTTATTATTTCAATATGATTGGCCCACCTCTAATATATATATATATATATATAAAGAAAAAGCCCCCTACAGCCTTACCACTCCGCAATGGTCCTTCCCTCTTCTCCACGAGTTGAGCAGCTCTCCGCTTCTTGACTAGACTACGCAATTATTTTCTTTTTCTTTTTTCTAATTATATATTTTAGTTTAATTGAAATTTTAATGTATTTTTAAATGAATTCAAATTTTTATTAACTTCAAAAAGCTTTATAGGTTTTCAAAACAAAATGAAAAAATATTATGATGTTCATTTAGTAGCAACTTAGCGAAACGGACCAAATTGACTAACAGTCTTAAAAACATGAATCAAATTGACCAAATTGAAAACACATGGATTTTCTCCCAAAAAAACATATGGAATAAATTGGCAAACGTTATAAAACACAAGGACCATTTTGACATTTAAGCCAAAGAAATAATCTAAAAGTGAAAGTAAAAAGAAATAAACATATAGGAAGGGTAGAATAGGAAAGAGAAAGAACAAAAAAGAAAAATATTAATTAAAAAATATTAAAAAAACAAAAGGGAGTGTAAGTGGAGAAAATGAAAATGGGAAAATCAGCTCCCATTGAAAATTGTATGTGTATGCTTTATTCCACATATATAAGAGAGGTGTAGATATCACGCTAGTGTGTGAGATAATAACCATCACTTTCATTATTAATCATATTGACTATAACATAAATCAAATTTATCTCCTTCAGTTAGAGTCAATAATTTTGTTACGTGCTCAGATACCATAATAGTTACCTATTGATAGAGAAACCTAAGATCTAAAACAAAATTTTCATCATTAGATGCAGAATACTCTCTCTTGTAATAATTTATTAAGTATTGCCACATTTGATAGGACACCTAAGTAAGAGAAATTTAAATCCTTCGATTGCACATTTTACATTTGGTAATGTACATGCATGAGAGAGAGAGAGAGAGAGAGAGAGAGAGAGAGATGGGATAAATAAGACGATCTTACATTTGCTCAAACTTCATCTCTTATTTTGTGTTTAATCATCAGATGTGAGTGTAAAACTATTCAAATATGAGCACAGTTCATGTTCTAGTTTCCAAAACTTTCTTAGTCACAGTAGGGTGTTGTGCAAAAAATCAGAACCCACGGGGATTCCATACATAGGTCACTATTTCAAGTGTTTTAAAGGCGAGATGGGGCCGAATTCATGTGTCAGAAATTAAAGTTTGAATTTAGGAGAAGAGAAGTGGGAGAGAAATTAAATTTTGACAAGGGCATTCTTGTCACTTTAGAAAAGGAACTGTCATTCAATTCATTATACAACAAGGGTCAAGAAACAAAATCATGTTATTCCCTTAATTTTACCCCCTTCAAACTTTTTCCTGTCTCCATTTCAACCTACTGTCCAAACTCCCTTTCCATTTTCACAAAAAAGCCCTAAAACACAAATTCTCTCTCTCTCTCTCTCTCTCTCTCTCTCTCTCTCTCTCTCACACACACACACACACACAAGAAGGAGAAGAAGAATAATTGTAATCATCCCTTATTAAGAGTTGAGTTTGCTCCACCCTTTTTTAGGGAAAACCAGCCCCTTAACATTTTAAGAAACCAAAGCTGCACACAATTATCCATCAGAAAACCAGAGCCTCCCAAATCTCTGTATAGTAATATTGCTCAATCAAACCAAACAAAACACCCACAAGAAAGAGAGAGAGAGAGAGAGAGAGAGAGAGAGAGTAGTCAGGAGCAACAGTGCCCTCTATCAGCTTGTACTCTCCCATCAATCTCATCAACTCTCTTCATCAACATCAAAATCTTCTTTTGCTTCACCATTTCCAGTTCCTTTCCTTCTCTCTCTTCCTCCCTCCCTCTACCTCTTTTCAGAAAATGGAAATCCTGTAATATCAATCAATTAATCAGAACTTTTGTCTTCTTTCGATCTCTTTCTTCATCAGTGTGCTTGGCTTACTTGTTTTCATAATTATAAAACCATAGCCAACATAGACTCATCTCAGTACTGCTAGCTTCACAAATTATTAGAACTCTCTCTCTCTCTGTGGTGAAGAAACCCTAGAACAAGAAATCAAGAGTTCTTCAAACAAAAACAAAGCAAAAAACAACTTAATTCCATGGATTCAATCCAAGACATGGATGGAGGTTCCAACTCTCATCACCATGAGATGAACATGGCATCAAGCAATAACCTAATTATCAACACAAGCTCAATGAACCCTGCTACTACTCTAGCCTCAGCAGCAGGAGTAGCTGGAACCTCATCTTCTTCTTCTTCTTCATCTCCAGCTTCCAGCAGCCGCTACGAGAACCAAAAGCGGCGCGACTGGAACACCTTCGGCCAATACCTCAAGAACCACCGCCCCCCGCTCTCTCTCTCCAGGTGCAGCGGGGCCCACGTCCTCGAATTCCTCCGCTACCTCGATCAGTTCGGCAAGACCAAGGTCCACACCCCCATCTGCCCCTTCTACGGCCACCCGAACCCTCCGGCTCCCTGCCCCTGCCCACTCCGCCAGGCATGGGGCAGCCTCGACGCCCTCATCGGGCGCCTTCGAGCCGCCTTCGAAGAAAACGGAGGCAAGCCCGAAGCCAACCCGTTTGGGGCTCGAGCCGTTCGACTTTACCTTCGCGAGGTTCGTGATTTGCAGTCGAAGGCAAGAGGTATCAGCTACGAGAAGAAGAAGCGGAAGAGGCCACCTTTGCCGCAGCAGCTGCCGCCTCCCCCACTGCCGCCGACAGTTCATCACCATCCAGGTCAATAAAAAGTCAAAGCAAGCTACTGTTACGACCAATGAAGATATGAGGGTACCGTCTTTATATATTTAAATTACGCTTTTTAAGACTTGTGTGGTGGTATTTGGATGTTATTGTTAATTAGGGTTTTAGTTAATTTCATGATATCAAGTGGTTGTTGGTAGCCACTGCTAAGCTTAGCTAGAGACAGACCTGCGTTTTTCATCAATTAATTCTGTGTTTCTATAAATCTCTTTGCTTTGCTTTGACTAAAAGCAAACCTTTACTTAATTAGATCCATCTTCTGTGGGGTATTATGAGTGAGCCTCTTCTCGATGTGCACACAGTACACCACTGTTTGTTAGTATTAGTACTTTGTACTTCTTGCTTCTGTTTCCATGGTTAATCCGTATCGAACTTAGCATAATAATTTGGTTACGGCTTGCATCCTTTCCTGGAAATCACAGTTTGATACATCATAATTCTTCGGTGTAAAAATAATTCATATAAAAAACACACCCAAAAAAAAAACATAATTCATTTGGGAAGTATTTTTCTAATAATTTTGTTTTGGTTTTTATGCATTTTTTTTCTTCTTTTGTTTCTTTTTTCATGCATCCCTATAAACCCACAGTTTTGCAGCCTTGGGTAAAACATACTAAAAATTTCTCGAAAGCTGGTGCTGGAAACTCCAAGTTAACTCAGTTTTTTTTCTCTTCATACTTGCTAAAGTATGAAAGGACTTTACACAAGGATCATACATATATATATATATATATGTTGTCAGATATGTCTTGCAACACTATATAATATATATACTTTTCTTTTGAATGCTTTTGTGTATTGCAGATCGGTACATTTTGTCAGACAAGTCTCTCTTTATCTCTGACTTCCCTTAGCTTCCCTCTTGTCCATGTTCCCACCTTTTCCTACTTTACTGTCTTAGGAATAGGTTGATTCATACATGCCTTGCCTTCTTCTTCTTCTTGTGTGCAAAACTTAAAGAGAAACAAAACTTTTAGACATCACTAGCTCACATGTACAACGAGGTAATTTGATTCAAATTTGGTTTATGTCTGTCTAATCTGGTCTTGTCAGATTATGAGCTAATTGTAATTAGAGAGATTGATCATGAAGAGCTATATATTTCATCCAATTATTTGCTTTTGTGATATATTATGGGTGGAGCATGCGTGTCATGAACCCTTATTTGTCATATGCGACTTTCCTTATTTGTCATATCAGTCTCAGATAGTCAGATGTTACTGAACCAAACAGAAATAGTGGAATACTGCGAAGTCTGCAACAGAGAGAGAGAGAGAGAGAGAGAGAGAGAGAGAGAGAGAGAGGGAGAGAGAGAGAATTCCAATTTCGTGAAACAAGGTTAATAAAATAAGCATTAATCTACTAAAGAAGGCAAAGCTTTGCATCCAATACTTTGCCATATTTTGATGCTATGGCTAATTAGGCAAAAAATATACATGTCTGCTGCTGCTTGCTAGTTATAGTTGGTTCAAAAGTACAAGTCGAGCTATAGGAAATTGAGGGAAATAGTGTTTTAAATTATTCTTTCTGGCCGACAGCTTGTCTGTGATTGGACAAGGCTGTGTCAAAATTCCTAATAATTTAATTTCTATAATTAAAATGCTCATTATTTAGGTGAAGAAATTAGCTTAGAATTATTTAACAAATGGTACGTAGGATAGGTGGTGGTAGCCAGAGAAAAAAAAAACCTTATTTCCCCGTTTGAGTTGAAGTAGTGGGGCATCAAGGAGCACTTTAACTCTTAGAGGATCTATTCATACTTCTAATCATTTCGGTCCAACATAGGATTATTTTCTATAGTATGTTTTAGATTCCATCAACAGACCAGTTTATTAGTAAAATATGGATCAAAAGCTACCATCAACTTTACCACGTCATCGGATTTCTCTCTCTCTCTCTCTCTCTCTCTCTCTCTCTCTCTCATTTGACAAGATCAATTATCTTATTATGGTCCATTAATTACTTTTTCTGAAACACCTCTCAGGAACTGCGAACTTTCTTCAAAAAGTATAGCTTGATATACATTACTAGATTGGTGATTCATTTTCTGACATCTTAAGTTTTTAGGTTCCATTTAGTGATTATCTGACATAATACGTATTACAGGTCTCGATTATCTAACATAGTATGTATTACTTGACAAAGTTAAGCTTTTGGCGTATGTCTTTGTAATGCTTGATTTGGACTGTCTATTTCTTTTCATCTTATTTTTGCTTGTTTCAACCATAACTATATACATTATATATCTACGTGACCACACACTACTGAATTTCTAAAACGCGTTTAAGATTCAAGGTCAAGAAAAAACAAAGCGGAGGATCTGAATTTTTTGAATTTATGTACATATAAGATATGTATACAATAATTCAATCATCTTCATGTGTGCTACAAATTAAAGGTGAAATGGAGTACTTCTACACATAGCAGCACCCACCCCCAATATGTCTTTGATATACTTCATCTTCATGAGTGTATGATGTCCTAATTAGCAAGCGTTTCTGCTTTTTGTTCTTTTTTTCCTCATGTACATAATCACTTCAGTCAAAACAGAAGACCTCTGCGGGATATTATATCCTTCTTAATTCATAGAGATAATATACTCCTATATATATCTTCATTGTCTCTCATATCATCTTCTGTTTCTCTCATTCAGATCCGAACTTGTTTTATTGATGGTTTTTCTTTCGTGTTCTTCATTGGAAAACATTTTCATGTGTAAGAGGCTTTCATGATTTTGTTAACTTGAGCATGCATGCTAGGTCTCAGGTATGTTTTATGACCACATTAGCTCGAAACATACAACCATTTTACCCGTGTGTTTTAACTTTTTTCATTTCTCTGGTTTCTGGTTTGTTGGGGGCAGGCTGAAAACATATAATTATTTTGTTTCTTATTTACTGTTGTACTTTTTTCATATGCACTAGTACTTATTTTGTTTCTCATTCAGACCGCATTAATTAGGATTTGCATACATACGCGTGATGTTATTAATGGGTGACTGACAAAGTTAATTACTTTTCAACTATGATATATATATTATTAATTACTAGATACAAGTGTTATAACATTAGTGAATTGATAAACTAAGCGACAACGTGATTGTCACACCAAAAAATTTCTTCACTTCTTCACAATCGTATAAAAACTACAAATCGAGTTTGTCTAAGCGATTCATCATGCACGAGTTAGTATAGTTCAAGTGGTTCCACTTGAGCGTTTGAGTAATCTTCATATACGTGTTGTTCGATCTCGTGTTAAGGTAGATGATTAACACTTGATATGGTGCTAATTAATTCCTCAATCGCATTAAATGAAGCATGCATGCTATATCAGGATCTTCTCATTCGAGATCTTTTCTTGTGAAATTATTTTTTTTGGGGTCGAAAAAATAAACTTGTGATTTATTTCTCAAAAATGTTACTCTTAATTATTATTATTACTCTTACCATTACCATATTATCGTGCATGTAATTTATGGAAGGTCAACCGACAAGAACTTCTAGATGGACCTAGTTTTTTCAATGGTAGTGAAGGCAGTATCCTAAAGAATCTCTCTGAGTGACTGGAGATTATTGATTTTCTAGTCAAAATGACCAAATATGCCACTCCGTCATGGATGAAATAATTGTCCTAAATTAGTGAAGCAGACTGCGTGTCCACCAATAAGTTGGGGGGACTATCACTATCAGAACCTGCTGTGTGCTGCTTCAAATAAATCAGGGGTCAAAAGTGTAGAACACCACAAATAATATTAGTCACAAGTAATTTTGAGTGGAATGTATTTAAGCGATTAAGTGCAGTTACCTATGTAGTCGAGGTCTCGTGTTCGAATCGCAATTTTTTGTTGTTGTTGTCGTGATGAAATTATGTGCCTGCGGTTAAATTATTTTGCCATGATTGAATAATGTGTCAGCTGCATCAGGACTTCTAACCAGTAGTAATCCAACTACCTTGAGGCAAAATAAAAGTAACTATTTGTTCATTAATTACTTCTCCCTCTGCAACCAATTGAAATCTACCACCCTAATTTTCCATTATGTATCAATCTAGCAATGAATTGTGCTATTTATTGGTACACATTATCAAATAATTCTTTTATATCAGAGAAATAGATTTCTGCGTGATCAAATCATGTGTAAAATTGAATAAAACAAAATGAAATAAATTCGGGTTTTAATTGATTTACTGTGCAGCAGCAGTACTGTAACTGTATAATTGGGCAGGAGCATGCAGGCAGAACAAATCGGGCAATAGAGGCCAAATTAAACTGGCAGTAACTAAGGCTGCCATAAAATTTACCTTCCCCATAACTTGATGTGCTATATTGCGTGCATGATTTAAGCCATTGAGTCTGTGACGGATTGGTCCATTTCAATCTCTCTCTCTCTCAACGAAACGAGAAAAAAGTTGTGTGAAACGAGAATAACACTCTGTTGCAATTTTCAATTAACCGCACAATATATTACATATGATAAAAATTTTACCGTTTTCACACAAATTTTTCTGCTCTTGAAACCTCCAAAGGAGAAAGGACGTCTCGCCCTTTTCTGCTCTTGGATGTAGCTTAGGTGAGCCATGCCCCAAATTAATTAATAACACAACCACACCCAGCCTCCGGCGACATGACTTAAGCTTGCGCGGCACTCCAACTAACTGCTAACCCTACCCCACACGTGTTGTCTACAAAAGCTAGCCCAACAATCAATTCATGTAATAATTCTTTCTTTCAGCTACCAGAAATTAAATTCTCACCTCCAAACTATCTGCTTGGCCACCACCTGCCTTTATATCTAGCTACAATTATTACTGAATTTGTTCACTTTTGGGTACCAATACTATGAATTTTGTGATCACCGTCATGACTCAGATATAGATTCGTTTAGAGAACAAAATGGTATGCAATTAGTAATTAAGGATTAATTACATTATCATTAGTTTTGGTAATTAGAAAGTACCCTTCAATCTCATCATAGTCATCTGCTCGTGTGAAGTTTTAGGCTAACATTTTTCCGAGTCTATTAACGAGAATCTTTAGAACAGTAAATGCATGTCACGTGTCATTCATATATAATCTAATTGACCACAAAGATAAAATATTTGTAACTACTACTTCTTGTTATATTATTGTTGAAAGATGTTTTACACTCGAATCACACTGGTGCATCGAGACAAAGAAAAAGCTACAAGCAACTATTCAAGTGGCGTGTGAGCTTCATCTTGCTCTCTCTCGATAATATTTTTTGAGTAATGCTATTTAGACACACAAGATTAACCACATTAGCCGACCACTTAATGTGGTGGTCATGCTATGTCAATTAATGAATATTGCCATGTAGACTCAAATTATTCTTTATTTATTATTTTTCATATCAATAATATGGAAAAACCAAAACAATGAAATTAAAACTAACCTAGTGTCCTGAGCCTTTACGTAGCCTCCTTGGTTCTGAACTCTTCCTTCATCAAATCTACTCATCCCTCTCCTCTTCCATTGAAGTTAAATAAAAAAATTAACTATTAAATAAGGAACTCATTTGATATAGGTATACAGACAATTAATTCCAGAGGTACAAACCCATTTGATAGAATCTTTCGCACCCAATTTCAAGGCCACCCCTCCACCTCCAAGGGGAACAGACAAACCCCATTTGAATGAGTCAGTCTTGGTGGAGGAATGGAGGGCTCACAAAGGCATCGTAGGAGGAATCACAAAGACAACTAGCAATCTGGATGGCCTCACAAAGACAACTAGCAATTTCAAGGCCTTCTATTTTCCCATTATAAATACAAAGACAATTGGAAATGGCAACTCCTTTTGACGGAGGAATGGAGGGCTGGAGACGTGAGGAAGTACTGAAAGAACGGGAGGCTACAGTCTAAGGGACGCTAGGGTTAATTTTAATTTTATTGTTTTAGTTTTTCAAGATTATTGATTTGTAAAATAAATAAAAATATAATTCATATGTGAGAGTTTATTAATTGAAATTGCATGACCACATCAACTACCATATAAGATGGTCGGTTAATATAGTCAATCTTGCGTGTCGAAATAACATTACTCATATTTTTTTTAACCGTGAACAATGTGTGACATGGATTTTACCATCAACTAGGTGAAAATGTGAAGTAAATAAAATTCTCAGAGTTCCTCTCTCTCCAATCCGAGAATCCCGCATTCTACGGTCAATCCGACTGGACCTTCAACACGACGGACAAAGTAGGACCCAATCAGGACGTTCCAACCGTGCAAACTCACGTGTACACCTGTCTCCAATGTCGGTTATAGTAACATTTATGCTCCTTCGCTTTTCACCTCGTTCCAACACCAGATCTCCACCGCTAACCCCATCCCCGATACCATTACGTGGCACCATCTCGGCGCTTCTTTGCTTTGGCTTCGGTTACCGTGAACCGTACGAGATTGTTGTCGCGTCCCCATCACTTGTTTCATTGGCTTTCAAATTTTTATCTCGTCTCCATTCAAATGGGCCCCAATGAGTCAAAATGTTAAGGGCGATGTGTGGGTCCTACAGCCTCCCTCTTTTTAGCGGTTGTATTGGACTTTCTCACCGTACGGTCCTCATATGGCCTTTGATCCGAGAGGGGAAATTTCTGTCTCTCTCTCTTTTTTTCCATTTTTTGTAATTTTTATTTATTTATTTAGGTGAAAAACCATGAGGACATGTCATGTCGTATTGAAGTAAGTAATGAAAACAGGATATTCTGCCATGTAATTTTATTTGATTATACTTGGATCAAATAATAAACACGCACTATTTGAACAGAAAAAAAAGAGAAAAAAAAGAGAAAAAAAAGAGCTTCGATTATTTTTCGGAGTGAGATTTTTGGTGGAACTGAGTCCCCCATATATAGTATAGATTTGAGTGACGTTACACGTAAGGGAATTTATTGAGAATATTTATAAATATTGTTTCACATCGGAAAGTTAAAAAACATTGCATGATAATTCATTTCGCCATCGAGTCGTACAACATGAACACAACTCGAAAGCCCAAGTATCTGCCATAAATTACGACAGGTTGACATGGCTTTTATGAAGATTGATATTGACTTGGTCAAGTAGTATTGGTTCTTCTCTAACTAAGGAGTGACAGGAAGGAAGAAGTAGTAGGAGGGGCCATTTTCATGCTTGATAGTTTCGTATGTTGACACTGCCGCGTCACTGTGAAACTGTCAGGTTGAGGAAGCCTGTGTGAAGCATCACATATAGCGCGGGGCCGGCTAAAGCATCAATTAAAGTGGCCACATCACATACATTCTGTGAGTTGGCATAAATTCAACGAAAACGAACAGGTGTTCCTGGACCACCATATATGCATGATCGATCTCTTCTCCTACCTAGCTATTAATTTAGTCTTCAGATCATATATTGTATTGATTGTTCCCATTATTTTTTTGTTTTTTCTCTTTCTTTCATCGAAGACTAGCTATATACTTAAAAACTTGTTATTGTACGACCAAAAGGATTCGAACAAAAAACAACCCAGAGTGGCACAACAACCATTGTATTTAAGCGATTCTGCACCATTTGGCAGCAACCCTTGTATATGTAAGCCGACATATATACAGTGGCGGTTCTACGTTTTGAAGGCCTTAGACGAACAACTTAAATGAGGGCTTTAAATTTATATGTATATTTATGTGATTTTATTTCACTAAATTTTTTTGAAAAAAAATAGTATGTGAACTTAAATTCACAATTGTGAAATCTAAGAAACAAACAATATGTAATTTACACAACTTTATAAAAGACATTAAAACATCACTTGTCTTGCATTTCTTGATGCAAAAGTATCAATTAACTTTATATAATATACATTTTTAAATAACATATGTAATTATATGTAGTATACAAATTGGGGGCCGTTACAATTTGGCAGGGGCGGAGCCACACACAGGCCAGAGGTGGCTGTGGCCCCCTCATTTCTCATGAATTCCATTGAAGTTTTTATATAAAACTTGGAAATCGGTATGTAATTTCATATCTTTTTCAGCTATTGTCTGTTCTAATTAGATTCTAGCACCGCCACTGCAATTTAGGGGCCTTAGGCGGTCGTCTAGCATGCTTGTGCCTGGTGCCTCCCCTGCATATATATTATATATGCACAGTGCTGCATGCAGAGATTTTGACGAAAGGACACCATGCATGGTAGATGATATATTATAGCTAGCTTTTTTGAGAGAGAGAGAGAGAGAGAGAGAGAGAGAGAGAGAGAGAGAGAGAGTACACGTACTTGCCTTTCGGGCGCTCTCCCTACAGTGGGGTTTTTTCTCAATATAAAGAAAGGCGTTTCTCATGAATTCCATTGAAGTTTTTATATAAAACTTGGAAATCGGTATGTAATTTCATATCTTTTTCAGCTATTGTCTGTTCTAATTAGATTCTAGCACCGCCACTGCAATTTAGGGGCCTTAGGCGGTCGTCTAGCATGCTTGTGCCTGGTGCCTCCCCTGCATATATATTATATATGCACAGTGCTGCATGCAGAGATTTTGACGAAAGGACACCATGCATGGTAGATGATATATTATAGCTAGCTTTTTTGAGAGAGAGAGAGAGAGAGAGAGAGAGAGAGAGAGAGAGAGAGAGTACACGTACTTGCCTTTCGGGCTTGCGATCTACAGTAGGGTTTTATCTCAAAGTAAAGAAGAGAGCAGAAGCTAAAAACAAAAGGAGGTTTCATTTGATTTCTATATAGAGCGCTTTATAGGTTATGCAATAAATGGGTGTCTGTCTGTGTAGTGTGCAACTCTCTTGCTGCATGTGAGTTCAGATTGTATAAAGTTGCCCTAGAAATTACGACCCCATAGCCACAATCTTCTTGGTTCTGCATTTCAGGATTTGTAAATATAGTAATGCATGGTCATGTCCTTTTCAAACTTCTGTGGCTGGCGGGAGGAAGGCATATATATATATCTCTGTACTGTTTTAGGGCTTTGAAATAGATTTATTGTTGGTAAGTACTTTTAACTGTTTGTCTCGATTGATTTGATAAAGCTGAGCATGATTTCAATCCGCTGTCTGTGTAGGGGGGCTTGACCTGCTCGGCTAGGGTTGGACCTAACCAACCGGGAATTCAGTCAATCGAAATCTTCCATTTGGCTGTTCGGGTTTGGGGATTCTAATCTAAAACGCACCTTTCAAAATTTCAAATTTTCATTTGATGTGTGTGTTTTACGGGAGACTGTAGTGAGGGGTTATAATAAGGTCCTTAATAGCCATCCGATCAATTATATAATTATTATTGGACTACTAGATTGAACCTCTTAACACACGCACTCGTTATAGGTGAAATTCTATTGTAAGGGTGCCGTATATGGACCACTCATGTAAACTTTCATATTAGTCACAATATCATTTCATTAAACTTAAGTGAAGTTACTATTCAAATGAATCATGTGGCTAATATAAAGGTAGATATATGGTCCATATATGACATTCTCACCATAGAACGACTCCTCATTATAGAAGCTCCGTTGTTGTTTTGAAGATCATGCATGCAATGGGCCTTGCATGCAAGAAGATCTAAAGAGAGGATGACCTTCGGACTTGGATGTAATGGGCCGAAGAATCTAAATGGGATCATCCAATATTGGAACCTCCATGCAAATGCAATTTAGCCAATTTTTTTAAAATAAAAGGCCTGGTTGAAACTTTTAATTGGGTCTATAATGGACCGACCCAGAATGTAATCTATAAAAAAGTTCAACACGAAAATATAGCCCAAAATTTGACATCCAATGAAATGAAGTAGATATTTCCACACAAAATCATCCCCACAAAAAGAAAAGATTACACTAGGAAAGGACGAAATGAACTGAAAATGATTGATTGATTCAGATTTCAGCGCCACCGACATAGGCGCCCTTCTCCCTCCCTCAGTATCTGCAGATCTCCTTCTCTCTCCTCTATCTGTGTTTGTGGAAGCAGAGCAGAAATCATGGGTTCTCTCCCACCTTTTTCCTCAGACTTCATCAACCCACATTCTCTATCCAAACCCAAAACAACAACAGCAAGCCAATCTTCTTCCTCCTCATGCATTGACGAAACTACCCTGCTCAACCTCTTCAAATCCCAACAGAGCCACCTCAACTTCTTCTTCCAGCACCTGGACCTCTCCCAAACCCTATCTTTCACCCGCACCCTCCTCCTCCAGTCCTCCGCTGGCGCCACCGTCTTCTTCTCCGGTGTCGGCAAGTCCGGCTTCGTTGCCCACAAGATCTCCCAGACCCTCGTCTCCCTCGGCATCCGCTCCGGCTTCCTATCCCCACTCGACGCCCTCCACGGCGACATCGGCGCCCTCTCTAAAAGCGACGTCTTGGTCCTCTTCAGCAAGTCCGGTACCACCGAGGAGCTCCTCCGCCTCGTCCCCTGCGCCAAGGCCAAGGGCGCCTTCCTCATCTCCGTCACGTCCGTCGACGGCAATGCCCTCGCCGCCGTCTGCGACATGAACGTGTATTTACCTTTGGAGAGAGAGCTCTGCCCCTTCGATTTGGCTCCGGTCACCTCCACCGCCATTCAGATGGTCTTCGGCGACACCGTTGCGATCGCGCTCATGGGCGCCAAAAATCTCACCAAGGAACAGTACGCCGCCGCCGCCAATCCCCCCGCCGGTCGGATCGGCAAGCATCTCATCTTCAAGGTCCGATCTTGCTCTTGCCCCAATTTCAACTCTCCTCCAATTCTAGGTTTTCTTTTTCTTTTCTCCTAATTCTCTGGAGTTGCAGGTGAAAGATGTGATGAAGAAAGAAGATGAGCTTCCTGTTTGCAAGGAAGGAGATATGATAATGGAGCAGCTGGTGGAGCTGACGAGCAAAGGCTGCGGGTGCCTGCTTGTGATCGACGACGACCATCACCTGATCGGCACATTCACTGACGGCGATCTGCGTCGAACTCTGAAGGCGAGCGGGGAAGCCATCTTCAAGCTCACGGTTGGGGAAATGTGCAACAGAAACCCTAGAACCATCGGTCCAGAAGCCATGGCCGTGGACGCCATGCAGAAGATGGAAGCTCCTCCGTCCCCGGTCCAGTTCTTGCCCGTCATCAATGGCCAGAATCAAGTGATTGGGATTGTCACTCTGCATGGACTGGTCTCAGCTGGTCTCTGATAGATAGATTATGTAGATGTTCTTGTCTATGTGCTTTCTTATTTTTCATTTTTTATTTTTTCAATTTTTGTTTAAATGTGTTTAGCATTTTATTCATTAATATGCATGATTAGATAATTCTTTGTAACTAAAAATATTGAAGCAAACCCCTTTTGGGTAATTTGTACTACTATTGTTTACCGTTATATCATGGAGAATTTGAATGTTTCTAAATCTCATGTTTCACCATCTACATTGTATTGGGTTCACATAACAACTAACCATCACTGTCATCACTAAGCAGAACAATTCCACTCTGAGAGCCTGCTTTTCTTGAAGTTTGATTCTCTGAAACCAAAGGGTTCGAAGATGCCCCATTGTCGGCTGGATGACCACCTTTAGATAGCTTCCCAGGAACACTGCCTTTCTCGAGAGGACAGGCAGCTTGTTCTTTTCCACGGAAAAGAAAGTCAAGATCTGGGATTAAATCCTCAGAGTCTGAGGAACTTGTTTCACTTGTACTTACGGATGAAACATCGGATGTCTCCTCTGTTGCCTCTGTCGGTGGAAGCGGAGTATTGTTCGTCCCCTTCATTGCCTCTGTCGGTAGAGAAGGAGCATTATTTCCTGTTGTGCTTGAGATAATAGTAGGTCCTACTGTGTTCTCCTTTGCTTTCTGTTCATTCAAGATTGTTGGTTGGAGCACATGTGCCTTCACCTTTGCCTGGATGCTAGACACAGAATTTGTATCATTCACATTCGCTGTTGCAGCATCAAGAGTTCCAGATGGATGATCGTTTGCTTTCAACTTACTCGAGATTATAGATTGCAGCATACGTGCCTTCAATTCTGCCCTGAATGCATCTTGAGACATGGACTCTTTCTGTTTAGTTTTCTGAGCATTAGTGGTTGGACCATCTACATGCCCAATATTCTTCGGACGATGCACATGCAGAGCCAATCCAAGATCATCTTTGCCCCATTTGAAGACTGCATCTAACTTTCCTTCCAAAGCTTCAAGTAGTAGATATAAATGATCGATCTGGTGACGGTAGAGGAAAACCTTGTCACTCCAAGCACAAGAACACAGTTGCTTTGCGTGTAACAGACATGAATATCTGTCTGCAGAACAAGGACAAGCTGCCGCAGAAAAATGCAGATCACGGAGACAAATGCTGCACTCCTTTTTGCTTGTAGCATCAAAATTTGATTTCATCCTCCGTGACTGTTTGGACTTGCAAAGATATTTCCGGCAAATGGCTTCAGAACTGAGACGTGACTGCATAAAACAGAAAGGTGGAAAAGAGTTTAAAAAAGAAAAACAATCAGGCCATCGACTAAAAGTTTGAAGATGGTTAAATTATCTCACTAAGTGCAAAACATAAACCAGAGAAAGCAGGGGAAAAAGCAAACTTAAAAGTACAATCCCTTTAATTAAAAAAATACAACTGCTATATGAATCAATAATGTCAGTCCACCATTGTTCAAAATCATGTAGGATACAAGCAGGATCTGCAGTTGACAGTAATATGGCGGGAAATATCTGAGGAATTACCTTGAATACATGGGTTAAGATCCCATCCTTTCCATAGGCATCTTTCCAGAGGAAATGATCTGAGGTGTTCTTCCTAAACAATGAATCCCACTGTGCCCTCACAGCTTCCCTAGCTGCTCCAAGCAGCAGCTTATCATGGGATATAGATGTTTTCCTCCCCTGTTCACAGTAAAGTTCAACAGCCTCCTGTCCATGAGGCAACCAGTCTAGGGGAGCAACACATGCCGTCTCAGAAAAATTAAAGCCACAATCAAATCCCGAATGATAAGCCCCTGGGAGGACAAGAACAAACTCCCCAGGAGACTGAATGCAACGAAAGACTGGTATGCCCTGTGATTTCAGTGTGGAGGGCGGTAATTGTTTAACCTGTACCCAAAAAAAAAGAAAGATATAAAAGGTGTCTACTAACAAAAGACAACAGAGAAGTTAACATCTCTTGAAAAATATTTTACTAAAAATAAAGTTTTAACTTTAACACGAATTAGTGAATTAGGCAGGATCCTTTTGTACAGAATAACAAAGCAAAGGGCGAGTCAATCTTGGAAAGGGGGGAATCATAAGTTTGTCAGCTCACCAGCCCATTTTGCAATTCAGGCTGTTCTGATGATGATTCTGAAAATGAGCTCCTCATGGCTGCCTCAAAATTAACACTATATTTCCCAGGGACACCATACCATATTTTAGGAGCACCCAGATGCGTGTAAGCCAATGAGTATAAATGGTGCTCTTCAACTTTCTGTTTAAAAGGACTCAAAAAATCAAAGCATGATCAACAAACTAAAAATAAGACAACCAACCACAGACATTATCCATAGAAAAGTAAAGATACTTAAAAATGCATCTCAAAAGAATACAAGTTTGAGAGCCATTGATTACCACATTCAAAAGTTTCAAAGAATATATTATCCGACTATCTAAAACATATATAACGTTTTCTGCAAAAGATGCAACATGTGAGCCATATCAAATCTTACCCAGTGAAAAGATGAAAAGCACATTCCCACACGAGCCTGAGGTACCAAATTATGAGAAGTGTCATGGCTTTCAAAAGAAAGAAGAGAACCAGGCAGTCTGGGTAGATTATTTAAGTTCCAGCCTGATGCTAAATATTCAGGGTGATCTGACGTTGCCAAAGGATTGGAATCTTTAGATACTGTTGGAAATCCACTGCCAAGAGCTTTTGTCTCCAAATTATCACCACAAAGCACCTTCACAGTACACCAAGACGACAATTAACAGCACAAACTGCCTCAATAGAAAAGAAGAAAATAAAGAAAAAATTAAAAAATGATCATCCCAATTTCTGAGTGTACCTCAATCTCTTCAGTTGGGTTCTCAGTAATACGTTTATATTCAGCTTCAATATTCTCCAGTGATGGAACCCACTTCTCTTGTCTGCCCGTGACTTCACTTTTGCAGAAATATTGACTCTTGAAATCAGCTGCATATCTCTTAAAATTCTCAAGAGTGAATTCTCGACCAGGTTCTGGTTCAAAGCCTTTGACATATGAATGTCCTGTTTCACCTGGACTTGAGGTAGATCCACTGTCCAAACCCACTCTCAAGATTCTTCTCTTCTTTTTTGTGCTTTCATAAAAGCCAACCATTTTCCTCGGTGAACTCTGATTTCGTAGCCCATCAATCCGCTGAATATGGGTAGAAAATGTAGATCTTTTCCATATGGTGTATTCCTTAATAAGACATGGAGGTTTCCAGGAAGGAGGAGGAACAATACGACAAATACCATATTGCTCTGCTCTTGCACGTATAGTTGCAATATATTTAAGCATGTCTTTAAATTCCTGCAGGAAAAACTCAGACTCCTTCAGACTGATATTTTATAAGCAAAAAAGTGAGCATTCAAACAAAAGATCCAGACAACATCTATGACTCATGAAATAATGCAGTGTCACAGAAATCAGAAAAAGGTTAACCTCTTCTGTTGGGTGGAAAACAGGTGCTTCTTCAAGGACATCTATTCTTGCATCTTCAGGACGCCAACTTCCTGTTACCTATTCCAAGAATTCAATCAATAATCACAAACATTAAATGAAATAGAGAACCTGACATGGTAATGATTTTAGAAAATCAAGGGCAAATGGAAAGGTTGAAACTAGTACCTAATAACTATACAATTCAAAGGGAAGAGAATCAACTTAGTGAATGAAAATCAACCTTCAGACAATCACTGCAATCTGGACATCCATGAGTAACACCTTTAGGGAGACAAGTTTTTGCAGGGGGGTCCTGGAAAAAAAAAAAGGGATATAATTATAACAACTTCTAACCAGATTTAGCTGGTGATGAATCATGCAACATGAAATTATTCCTCTTTAAACATATAAACAAGCTCCTCATCAGCAGCTTATTTGCAGCATGCATAACGCAAGTTCAGATTTAAGTGCAAGCTAGTTTTATGTTTGACAGCAGCAAAAATACATTCACACCCAGACAAACAAAAAGGGAAGAAGAGAAGAACAGACCATATCAAACTGTTCAGATTCAGGTTCCTCTGAGTTGTAATCACTTTGGTCGAAAAGTATCCATGGCCTATGCTGAAGAGATCTTTTCAGTTTATCCATGTCAGTCAGGTCAGATGTGGAGTCCATCTGGATTGGCTCTTGTTTAGAAGCATTGACACCATTAGTTTCTTCAACTTTTTCCATCCTCTTCAGCACGAAGGATGTACGAGAAGCAAAACCAGGTGGAACTGAATTAAAAGCCATATTCTCACAATGGAGATAAGCCCTTGATGGGTTCTGCAACCAACGGTACTGCAAAAAGGAAAAATGAAAACTGAAGCATTAGAACAAAAGAAAAAAGCACACCCATAAAAATGATTAGTGGATACATTTATGAACAATCTAAAATTAGCATAACGAGAAAACATCGAAGCAATAAACAAATTGTTCAACAGTCCATACAAGCTGCACTGCACCTGTTTCTAATGGATAACAAGAATAAATTATCTTTAACAAGCTAACAAGGAACGCGAACATGTAAGCTAGAACCAACTGTACTTAAGTGAAAATCAAACAAATTCAAAATCATCATTTCCATCCATCCCATGCAAACAACACTGCGCTGCCCATTTTCCCATTTGATTAAAATAGAAACCCAGAGGTTTAACAAATCACTTACCCAGGTAACAGTTCTGCATCACAACCCGTCACAGAATACACCCAAAAATAAAAAATAAAAAAAATAAAACGACACTCCTATATTTTTCAGGGAATCAAATTCATGCTTACCCAGAGGCTGAAAATGCTGGGATTGGTCTGCGCTTCACTTGAAAGCCAAAATTTCCAGTGTCGGGCAACGAACAAAAAAGGAAGACGAATATGGAAAATGAAGAAAAATGTTCAGGGCTCAGCAATTACAAATTTAGAAGGGCATCCATACCCGAATGGGTTCGCAGATATTTCATTGGGTCACTGAATGCGGTTTCAATAGACCCACAAGATTGGTTTGGGTTTGGGCGATGGTGGGCTTCTCGTTTGTTTACTAACATGTATCGGCCTGTGCAGCTTTGTTCAGTATTCTCTCTCTCTCTCTCTCTCTCTCTCTCTCTTTGGGAACTTTTGCTTATCAAAATGTTCGTTTTATTCACAAGCAATGGTCTAAATTAATCTAAGGGAGTTTCACTAAAACACCCAAAATGGAGGTTGAAATTATAAAA